TCTGTGATATCAAACTGTTCCACTGAATATAGATAGCTTGAGTTTGTCAGAGGAGAAAGAATCATGCTGAGAACCCAACAATCCAAAGAGACCTTTAGAAACAAAGCAACTTGAAACTTCTCGCCCGCCTTCTGCATAATGATTATGACTCCACAAGAGAGAGAGAGAGAGAGAGAGAGAGAGAAAGGGGTCATTTTATTAGAATTTGAGCAGTTTAGAAAAGTTTTGGCTGAAATTCTCCCAGCACTCTGGTCAAGACCAATTATGGATCTAAGCTTAAGTTGTGGCCAAGACGAAGAAAGAAAGTCGATATTAATATAAATTTAATACGTTAAAATCAAACATTTCACACACATCAAGCTATTACTAAAGTATGTCTGAGCTGTCCATCTGACTTCACTTCACAACAAATTGTGAAATGTACCCTTGGATAGTCTAAAATTAATTTTAAAGTAACTTAATTCATGAAGAAGTTTTTTCAAACAGCCAAAGTCTTTGAAGAAGTTTCGGCAAGACCCCGAATTACATTCAGTGACATTTGAATGACATTAATCTGCTCGTTTACAGACTCTGTCTTTATCACATTAAAACTTGCATAAACAATTCAAGCTGTATAATAGATGGAAAACTGGAGAAAACTCAACATAAATGCCGGTGTTTGGGATTGCTGGAGAACCATGAAAGTCTCTCTGTAGTGTTTATGGAACAATTTTGATGCTGTATTATAAAACCTTGATGCTTGTCCTTTGTGTGCAGTAGCTTTTAACTTATAGGTATATAGGTACATAAGAGTTTGGCATTAGATGCCTCCTTTGAGGGACTGTTTCAGAGGCATCAGAGTTGGCCAGCTGGTCTGTAAGCTGCCAGCTAAAACCTGATATACCAGTTATACCACCACAACAACAGCATCTCAGGGCTGGAATACAGCAGTTAGCCAGTAGTGTTAATGAGTTTTGGTGAAAACGTTTTTGTTTCACTTGTAGTCTTCAGTTTGCAAACACACAGGCTTTCCACAGGTATTTTTCCTGCGGAACAGGATTTTGTCAAGAATTCCTGGGTAATAACGGGATCTATATTGAGCATCAGCACTGAACTTTGCGCAGCATGTGAAGGTGAAGAGCTTTGCATTGTAAGAGCAACATCATTAATCAGGAAAAAATGTGTGCACCTTACTGAAAATGCAACATGTCTTATAGTTGCATTGCACTGTGGTCATTGGAGAAATATATATTTTCCATCCAATGTAGCACAAAATATAACTGAATTTCCAAAAAACTAGCAGAAACAAAAAAGCGAATTCATGCATGTTTCCATCCACAAGGATTCTGCACATTTCAGGGTTTTCATGTAGTATATTGAGAAATGTTAGTCTCCTTTGGTCCACACTGATCTGATGTCTCCCTAGTTGAGCGAAATCTTCAGTAGATGTTTAATTCACATGTACATCATCATCACATTTAGCTTTTATTGATACACCAACTTGTTGCTACTCAAATTTCCCACTCAGGTTTTAAAAGCAAAATTTTAAAATATGCAAACCAAACCACAGAAAAAGGTGGATGGATGGAAATGCACTTACTGAGGCAGATACAGACATATTGTATATCCCTGCAGTAATATACAGTTTCCAGATGCATATAGTGTGTAATACTCAAATAATTTAAGGGATGAATATCAGCTTGTGCTATGTAATGCATAGCATGATACATATGGCACATCTTAAATCCATACTCTGGAGATATAAAAGTAGTCCTGGACTGACATCTGAAAATGTTTGGATCAGTGAGTATCCAGCATGGATGTCTTAATTCTTCATTTCTTGCCTCTGTTGCTCCTAATCCTTCTCTGTCGCTACTTGCTTTCTATCTAAATAAAGAATAAAACTACTTATAATATAGTTTCTTGGTTTGTAGGTAGTAGGTTTGAGACCCAGGACTACATCCCTGGCAACCTACCAGAAATAATGAAAGCATGTGGACAGCACACTGCGCCAGTATTCGCAGTATTAAACAGCACAACACACATAATTTAAGTGTGTTGTGTGTTTGTAATTGACTCCAGCAAGCATGTTTATTCCCGCTGGTGCAATGACAGCGAGAGACCCTTATTGCAGTTCAATAACTCAATGTTTCTGTCAATTAGAGCTTTTACTCTTTTGAAAATGAAGGGCTAACGAGCTGAGCTCGACCATCCATTTCAGGAGTTTTCATATTCTTTTTATTTATATATATATATCTATTGTATATATATATATTTATTTATTTATTTATTATTATTTATTTATTTTTTTTTTGCACAGAAAGCAGAAATTATCATCTGTCCATCAGAAGTATCAGCCATTATCAATTATTCACGGTAGAGCGGGACAGCTGACATTAGATTTATGCGGTGAGTTTCAATTTAAGGAGACATGTTTCTGTCCATTGCAACACATCACTTTTGTAGAGATCTGCAGAACAAGTGTTTCAGTATTTGTTTGTCATTGTATGCTACATAGTTTCTCAAAGCTTGGTAAAATTAAACCAAAGTTCATTCGAGACTCTTACCCTCACAGAACCCTCACTGTTTTGGAGATACTCAGATGCTTACATATAGATCAATTTTGTAAATCAACACTCCTACACCAAAACAAATGTACCAGTACTGTATTATGAATGCCCCAGCGCGCCATTCACACTGAACATACATCAGATCTAAATGGATTTGATCAGTTTAAAATGTGTCTAGCAGCATGAGAGCAGTGCCGTCTCGTTATATTTAGACACTGATCAAAGCTAAATCGAGCCCGTCAGCAAGGTTACGTAAACAAACCTATGAATCAAAGGATTGCTGGAGGAAAAGGTAAAAAAAGAAAAAATCTTTATAATCATACTGAATATGACTGTTGTTGCAAAGGAAGAAAAGAGGGAAGGAAAAATTATTACTGCAGTTTGTTAGTTTACTAGGCCCCCCTTGAAAGATTTTAAAAGATACATACATAATTAAGTTGGTCTAACCATAAGTGACAACAGCACTTGACAAATACGAATTATTTTTAATGTTATCATACCTTCATTGAATACTAATTGTTCTGCCTTTGGCTGTCTTACACTCTTTGCTAAAAAATGTCATCAGTATTTAATAAACTTTTTTGCTGTGAGAGGCAACTGAAATACCTTTCCAAGGATTTGCTGTCTTGAGGAATCACTACCCTTAAAATGTTGCAAGCTTCACACAATAAATGAAACAAGATTTCAGAATGACTGTGTAGCCTATCGGAGTCAAAAACCTAAACATTAAAGTTGCATAACTGATTTTTTCAGCCACAGGGGGCAGCAGAACAAGTTAAAAACAAAACATTGGCATAGATGAGAGCAGGCATATGTCCCTTTCCTGTCTTCAGAACAACCACATGCCTCATTTCGGGTGAAATAAGTGCTGTAAAAGTGCCTAGTTGCATCATTTCTAATAGCTGCTGCGTCGCATTTTGCACAACAAACAATAAAAAATAAAAAAAAATTCAGATTTCCGTTACTTCCCCAAAGAGCGCAGGACAGTAAAAGAAGAGATCTGTTGCCTCAGGCCATTCGCAGAGAGGATAACAAATTTAAAACTGTGGGTCAATATGTGTACACCTGTGGCAAACACCCAGGTTAGTTTACAATGTTACTGAGTAAATTAGTGATGCTGTAACTGAAGTGAAAAAATATGGTCCTACCATAAAACACCCACTTTTAGAATGGATTGCCTTGCGTGATGCAAAGGCGAAGCACCCAGATAGGCTGCTCTCATCTATCATCACCATATGAGGTTTTTATGACAAGCAAACAATTGCTCATTTACACATCCAGCAGACACACATTAGCATTCATTTAGTGTTGTGTTTTTGACCACTTAATGAATGTAAGTCCAATTTACTCTCCTTTTAGCTGTGTTTTTGGTCTCTACCTTCTCCAGAGGGAAACATCTGGCTCTTTAGCTGCTAAATGTCAAGCCTAGTCAAGTTTTTATTTTAAGATTTATACAGCCCAAAATTCACAGTTTGCATCAACATGAACACCCTCTGTCCCTAGACCCCTAATTTGATCCCTGAAAAAACTCTTAACAAGGAAAAACTGGAAGAGCCACAGAGGAGGGATCCCTCTTCCAGCATGGACGGACAAATGCTCCACCATGTCCAACTCCTAGTAACTAACTTTGTTTCTTTTTGTTCTTTGGTGTTGCAGAGTACAGGATATTTATAGGTTTTTTTGTTGTAAATATGTATATGCTAATAAGATTGAAGTTTGCAAACCAGAAAATCAAAACAATAAGCTGAAAGATGCTAAAATGCTACGTAGAGCTGAGAGGAAGTGCAGAATCATGTGATAATTCTCTGTGGGTTTGTCACTACAAGCAAGTCAAAGCACACATCCATTCAATAGATTTTTATATAACATTTTGATAAGGCCAGCTTCACAGCTCTACAGTGCAGTTAGTGATGAAGCTCAACAACTGAATAATCAGTCGTCGTGATGGATAACAAAACTACAAGAAGGTCCAGGTTTTAACCAATTATCCTTAACACTCTACGGTTGAGAGCAGTCCAATTAAAGAAACATGTGCAGCTCTGTCTCCAATTTCTGTTTCACTTTCCAGCTACAGTTGGATTAGAAGCCTGACTCACTATTAGGCTAAGTTCTGACATGATTAGCATAAAAGAAAAGAGCGGTAAGGGACAGTAATGCTTGTGCGATGACCTACAGTGCACTGGAGCGTGCCGCTTTGACGTTAACTACTACACTAGTTAAGAATGGAAGAATATAAGCCCAAATTAATCCATTTCTAAATCCGACAGTAAAATTGTTCATCCCAACAATTTGAATTAAATTCCATCCTGAGGATATTTCTCTCTTTGTGGTCCTTTTTAAAAAGTTGGTAACCTTTACAAGTAGAACACTTCTCATGTAAAATTCAAACAGCCTTGAAGCAGGGTAGGTCTGTCAGTGTCTGTTTATATCTGTTGCGCCATGTGTTCCTACCTGGGAGACAGGAATCGCAGACATTTTGACACGTTGTTGAAACAGCACGCTCAGTATGCGGTTTTGCTGCTCCAAGTCAAACACACGGGTCCGCAGCTTCACACATTCCTCTTTCAAGTCCTAGAAACCCCCCCAAAGAGCAGAGAAATGGACAGATAACTGGGATATTTCAGAGAAATACACATGTATCAGATGCTAAGTTAATAGCAACAGGACAAAATGTTGTATTCATGCAAGATAAACACAACTGTGCTCTAAAACCTGGACTAAACTAATGTTGCAAACAGGCCTTTTGCTGGTGAATTCTCACATTACAACAGCAATTTCTGTTTAGAAATGTTAAACTATGCTCTATAAAGTACATAAAATATCAATATGTGGTCCAGCACATTAAGGGTGTGAAGTAAATAAATATATCTATGAAATAATTGTAGTAAGTAGATTTTAAGTGCTTGTCTACTTTCCTCATTTGTTATTTTAATGACAGTACAGCAATATAATCCATGTCCCACCATTGGTATCAAAATTAGGACAGTTTTCCTTTGGTTTATTTCGTCTATTGTGGGTTTCTACATAAACTTGGCCTTTTCTTTAATTTTGTGCAATTCTGATTACTTCTTTAAACTTGTCACAAAACAGAAAACTCTCATACCAGCAGATTCTTTGTAGAAACTACTCGGCAGAAAAGCAGTCGGACTGA